GTGGGATCGGCTATATGAATCTTAGAACGCCATTGTGTTCTGTCCTGTGTCATGTCCTCCGTTAGATCCAAGTACTCTAAGTCTTTTCTTAGGGTCTCTTCCAAAGTTTTCCTAGGTCTTCCTCTACCCCTTCGGCCCTGAACCTCTGTCCCATAGTCGCATCTTCTAATCGGAGCGTCAGTAGGCCTTCTTTGCACATGTCCAAACCACCGTAACCGATTTTCTCTCATCTTTCCTTCAATTTCGGCTACTCCTACTTTACCCCGGATATCCTCATTCCTAATCTTATCCTTTCTCGTGTGCCCACACATCCAACGAAGCATCCTCATCTCCGCTACACCCATTTTGTGTACGTGTTGATGCTTCACCGCCCAACATTCTGTGCCATACAGCATCGCCGGCCTTATTGCCGTCCTATAAAATTTTCCCTTGAGCTTCAGTGGCATACGGCGGTCACACAACACGCCGGATGCACTCTTCCACTTCATCCATCCAGCTTGTATTCTATGGTTGAGATCTCCATCTAATTCTCCGTTCTTTTGCAAGATAGATCCTAGGTAACGAAAACGGTCGCTCTTTGGTATTTCTTGATCTCCGATCCTCACCCCTAACTCGTTTTGGCCTCCATTTGCACTGAACTTGCACTCCATATATTCTGTCTTTGATCGGCTTAGGCGAAGACCTTTAGATTCCAACACTTCTCTCCAAAGGTTAAGCTTTGCATTTACCCCTTCCTGAGTTTCATCTATCAACACTATATCGTCTGCGAAAAGCATACACCAAGGAATATCATCTTGAATATGTCCTGTTAACTCATCCATTACCAACGCAAAAAGGTAAGGACTTAAGGATGAGCCTTGATGTAATCCTACAGTTATGGGAAAGCTTTCGGTTTGTCCTTCATGAGTTCTTACGGCAGTCTTTGCTCCTTCATACATATCCTTTTATAGCTTGGATATATGCTACTCGTACTCCTTTCTTCTCTAAAATCCTCCAAAGAATGTCTCTTGGGACCCTATCATACGCTTTTTCCAAATCTATAAAGACCATGTGTAAATCCTTTTTCCCATCTCTATATCTTTCCATCAATCTTCGTAAGAGATAGATTGCCTCCATGGTTGAGCGCCCTGGCATGAACCCGAATTGGTTGTCCGAAACCCGTGTCTCTTGCCTCAATCTATGCTCAATGACTCTCTCCCAGAGCTTCATTGTATGACTCATTAGCTTAATACCCCTATAGTTCATGCAATTTTGTACATCGCCCTTATTCTTGTAGATAGGCACCAAAGTGCTCATTCGCCACTCATTTGGCATCTTCTTCGTTTTCAAAATCCTATTGAAAAGGTCAGTGAGCCATGTTATACCTGTCTCTCCCAAAACTTTCCACACTTCGATTGGTATATCGTCTGGGCCTACTGCTTTTCTATGCTTCATCTTCTTCAAAGCTACAACCACTTCTTCTTTTCGGATTCTACGATAAAAAGAGTAGTTTCTACACTCTTCTGAGTTACTCAACTCCCCTAAAGAAGCACTCCTTTCATGTCCTTCATTGAAAAGATTATGAAAATAACCTTTCCATCTGTCTTTAACCGCGATCTCTGTAGCAAGAACCTTTCCATCCTCATCCTTGATGCACCTCACTTGGTTTAGGTCCCTTGTCTTCTTTTCCCTTACTCTAGCTAGTTTATAGATATCCAACTCTCCTTCTTTGGTATCTAGTCGCTTATACATATCGTCATAAGCCGCTAACTTAGCTTCTCTCACAGCTTTCTTCGCCTCTTGCTTCGCTTTTCTATACCTTTCACCATTTTAATCGGTCATATCCTTGTATAAGGCTTTACAACATTCCTTCTTAGCCTTCACCTTTGTTTGTACCTCCTCATTCCACCACCAAGATTCCTTTTGGTGTGGGGCAAAGCCCTTGGACTCTCCTAATACCTCTTTTGCTACTTTTCGGATACAACTAGCCATGGAATCCCACATTTGGTTAGCTTCCCCCTCTCTATCCCACACACACTGGGTGATTACTTTCTTTTTGAAAATGGCTTGTTTTTCTTCTTTTAAATTCCACCATCTAGTCCTTGGGCACTTCCAAGTCTTGTTCTTTTTTCTCACTCTTTTGATATGTACATCCATCACCAACAAGCGATGTTGATTAGCCACGCTCTCTCCTAGTATAACTTTGCAATCCTTACAAGTTATACGATCCCCTTTCCTCATTAGAAGAAAATCTATTTGTGTTTTTGACGACCCACTCTTGTAGGTGATCACATGTTCTTCTCTCTTCTTAAAGAAGGTGTTGGCTAAGAAGAGATCATATGCCATTGCAAAATCCAAGATAGCTTCCCCATCCTCGTTTCTCTCCCCAAAACCATGGCCACCATGAAAACCTCCATAGTTGCCTGTCTCCCTGCCCACGTGTCCATTTAAATCTCCTCCTATAAATAACTTCTCCGTCTGAGCAATTCCTTGCACCAAGTCTCCAAGGTCTTCCCAAAATTTCTCCTTCGAACTCGTATCCAACCCTACTTGAGGTGCGTACGCACTAATCACATTGATAAGTTCTTGTCCTATTACAATCTTGATTGCCATGATTCTATCTCCTACCCTCTTGACATCTACAACATCTTGTGTCAAGGTCTTGTCCACGATGATGCCAACACCGTTTCTCATTCTATTTGTGCCCGAATACCATAGTTTAAACCCTGAGTTTTCTAGATCCTTTGCCTTACGACCAACCCATTTAGTTTCTTGTAGGCACATAATATTTATCCTTCTCCTCATCATAACTTTTACTACTTCCATAGATTTTCCCGTCAAGGTTCCTATATTCCACGTTCCTAAACGCATTTTGCTCTCTTGAACTCTACCCTTCTGTCCTAGCTTCTTCACCCTTCCCCGTCTAATAGGATCAAAGTACTTCTTTTGTGTGTCCCGTGTAAAGTTGATAGGAGCATATGCTCCCAAACAACTTTGAGTGGAGTCGTTCGAAAAGAAGTTTCTATAGCCCCCTTGCTCATTTAACACTGCATCCGGGTGCCGATGGAGATACAGCGACCCTTGCTCACTTATCACTGTGCTCGGGCCACACAGCGCGCCACTTACGGGTGACGCCCTAGCTTTAGCACGATTTCGTTCTGGATTCATTTTCATAAGGATTCGACGTGATCATGGAGTACCGGCTGTCGACTACCTGACGCCCTCCCCCTCCTCCTTTATCCGGGCTTGGGACCGGCAATGTAAGATAAACTTACACGGCGGAGTTAACCTGAATTACATGAACCCATAAACCAAAATAAATGAAGTAACAAGTCACTGTGGAAACTTGAAAATCTGAGCTAAAAACAAACTGCCATTAGCTAAAAACAAACTGCCATTAAGTATCACAAACTGCCATTAGCTAAAACCCTGCAATTCCAAACAAAACCAACCTGAATTACATGAACCCATAAACCAAAATAAATGAAGTAACAAGTCACTGTGGAAACTTATCAAATACCTTGCGGGCAATTAAGAACAAAGCAAATGGAATAGTAACATATCACTGACGAAATTTATCAAACAACTCACAGGCAATCACAACACTCCATGGACAGGGAAAACCAAACGAACAAAACGATAAGAAAACACTGAGGAAATTTATCAAACACCTCGCAGGAAATGTGGACACTCCATGGACACATAAAACCAAACAACCGAAACGATAACAATACACTCAGGAAATTTATCAAACACCTTGCAGGAAATCACAATTCTCTATAGACACCTATAACAAAACACTATGAAACTTTATCAAACACCTTCCAAGCAATCACAATTCTCCATTGACACATTTAACAAAACAAAAGAAATAATAGCAGGGCATCAGAAATATCATCGAACACCTTACAGGCAATCATAATTCCACACGAAAATAAAACAAAACTCAATAAACAAATCAAAGATCAGGAAATTAGACAAACACCTTACAGGCAATCACAAATAACTGGTGGGATTCAAACGAAGAAGAAGACGAAGAGGAACCTGGACTTCAGCCGGGAGAGCAAGTGCGAGAGGATAGCGTCTGGAGAGGACCACGACCGAGCGTGAGAGGACACTACGTCTGGAGAGGAAGGAGACAGCGAGAGGGTTCGCTCCGACTAACTGTGTGAGTCTGTAAGAGAGGGACTGTGAGCGAGAGAGCAAGAGTGAGTCTGAGAGAGAAAGAACACCCACCTAACAAATGACCTAACCTAACTCAATGGACGGTTGGATTTGATTTTAACAAATCCAACGGTTCAATTAATTTCTAATTAAAAATTAAAAATAAATAAATATATATATATATAATAATCGGTTCGGTTCGGGATTACCGAAAGCTTTCAAAGCTGTGGCCGAATCCCAACCCGAAACTTTCGGGACGGGTTCGGTTTCGGGTACCGAAGGTTTCGGGAAATTCGGTTCGGGATTTTTTCGGGAAAATTTCGGGACGGGATCGGGACGGTTCGGGATTTTCGGGAAAAAATTCCACCCCTAGTGCAAACCTTGCTATGCATGTCCTCTCCTCCAAAAGCTCAGGATGCACGCACAATCCTTGGATCCTTCAACCTTGGCCATGGAGTTGATGAACGAGATAAATTAAGGTTTGATGAGATTTTATTAGCTTCTCTGGCGACACATTCTCTTGATGTCATCGAAGACCACAACCGCCCTCCACTATATTTTTGCTGTTCTTCTCCACCCTCCAGCAATCCATTTTCCAATTTCCGACAACCAATTGTGGCTGGATTTTTCGCCAGTTGATAATATCTTTCTACACCCATATTTTCTTTAGGGCATAATTGAAATATAAAATTTAACAAAAATTTAATGGGTGTAGAAATAAGTTTATTGGGTCCAAATAGAATTTCCCTTTCATTTTTCATTCATTTTTCATTTGAAAGCTGGTTCACTTACCTAACAAGTTTTTCGTTTAAATTTTCATTTTGCAAAAACATAAAAATAAGAAACTGAAAACAAAATGGTTAATAAACGCGTCCAAAGGGTACCTTTTTTCTTCTTTCCTTTGAGTTATTCATTACAGGGCATGGAGAAACTGGTCGTTTCAGACTGAGACCAACAGATTTTCAAACAATCATGGAAGACAATGTAATGGCAGCTTCAAAAACTCAGCCGCATGCATTTTTTACACTTCAATTAGAATATGACATTGTACGTAGCCTTCTCGGTCCTGCTATTCAGTTCGCATGGACATCTAACCATCCTTCACATCCGTGCCAACGGAAGGAGACCCGCCACCATTACGGCTGCCACTGAATTCTTTTGATACTGCATTAGGAGATGGAGTCATATCCTCCTCGATTGGAAGCGTTCGCTTTGAGCCCTCCAAAGCAACGCCAAGGATAATATTCTCTTCTAATGGAGGCCTAGCTGTCGATGGTGCTGCAACAGGCTTCTCGCCATCTTGCTTTGGCTGTGTAGTGGTCAAAGGAACATCTGCTTTTTCGCTACCAGTCTCGGGTGAAGCAACATGAGGCTTCTTAGCCGTCACCTTTTGTGGAGACACACCTTTGGAATCAGCTCCTGTCTCCTTCCCTGGATATTTTATACTCTCGTTCTTGGACTGCAGCATTTCGGAGTTGTTTCTAACTGAATCATCAGATGTGGGATTCCAAGTTTGGGGTTCGGGTGTTGGCATTTCAGAAGTCTTAGAGGTTGTACTTGAGTTGGAACTTGAAGTCGCTGCAACCTTATCGTCAGTTTGTGCATGTGTTACGGCTGGCCCAGCTTTAGCATCTGATCCCTTGGAGTCAGATGGTGAGGCTGCTTCAGCTTGGGCCTGTTTTTCTCCATTTGTACGCATTGTGCGAGTTGAAGCCTTGCCTTTGTCGTCACTACTGATTTTGTAAGATGGTTCAATAAGTAGATACGGACGATTAGTGGCTGCCCTAGAACGAGTGAAAATGGTGTCAGCGAATGGCACATTTTCCAAGTCAGCCTCACTGTAATATTTCTGGACTGTGCGGATGGGTGTGGCAAGCCGGGCATGGTGATGGCTAATAACTCTGAGAAGATCCAAAAGTATTGCCTCCTGTATTATTTCATCAATAGAGTTCGTGAGATATACATTCAAGGTTTTCTCAAAGCCTATAATTACAATGAAATATTTAAAGGTATTACGATATCCATAAACAACAACTACAGAGTTCAGGCAGACAATAAGGAACTAAGAGACCAGAATCAGCAAACAACACGAATGATACAATCCGCATCCAAGGTTATGTAACACTATGAGCTCGTGGAACAAGTATGTGATGGGAAGATCGACGAACAGTCGGAATATTCAGACAAGGTTATGTGATTCCCATTGTACTAAATAAATCTCAGCAGTAATTCTCAGAATTGAGAACTAGAAAGCACCTACTCTCAGACAATGGCTTTAAAGTCATTATTACTCAGCATCTCTAGAAAACTTCCTGAAATTTGTATCGGTGTCCATTTCAAAGTTGGTCTAGATTTATACTATATCAGATTCTATTATATAATTTTGCTTTTCAGGCATCATTATTTCATAAAGCTTCTACCAATAAAATAGTATTTACCTTGACGCAGAGATACTCCTCAATATGAGATGTTTTAACAAAGCAAGACACCAAAATCTGTCACAAAATTGTACGTTTATAAGACAAACTTGAGATAAGAACAATCATTAAATAAATAATTAATGAATAAAAAGGAAGAAAACAAAAGGGAGGAGCGGAGTATATGGAGATTGAAGATCAATTGGAAAATCAAATGAGTTTTCCTATTTGTTCTATGAAGACCTTGGGAATGAAAGTGAAGAATTGGAAGACCAACAATTTTCGTCATGTATTTTTTTGAGTAGAAAAGTTCATAACTTTGAAAAATGACAGCATAAAAGTCTTACCATAAGAGCCTGATTTTCTGGATTAATATTGTCCAGAAAAACTCTTCTATGCAACCTTTGCTGCTCTACTTGAGGATTTTTTGCCAGAACCTTGCGCATATCAGCTACTATAGTCTGTAGACAGCAATGCCACCGAGGTTATTGTATGACATGATAGAACAAACAATATTCCAGAGAACAAGTAACAAGCTGGTGAACTAAATTAATACTCACATTAATTTTATTTACATCCAAGTGACTGACTGCGAGGTGAGTCTTGATTCGCCAATGACTTTTCTGGCTAAGATTCCGGACAACATTTACAGTGAACTTGTGATTTGGAATGTGAACTGCTTCACGATCATCGCCCCTTATAATTGTTGGAGACCACCAACCCACATGCTGGTAAAATATATCAAATTCATCAAAAAATAAATAAAAGGGGTCAAATTGCAGATAAGAAATTCACTTCCAATATTTGTTTCAGAAAGAACTAAATTGTTGAATCCCGCTTATGTTTAAGGTGGAAGTAATCAAAGGTATAATGCACATACATTATGTTTTTCCTCCTAACTGTTGTTCTCATTTGATGATAGATTAACAAAGATATGTACAAACCTCAACAGTACCAGAAACTTCATAACCTTCAATCTTAGTCTGGATCCATTCGTTAACAACAAATGGGCGTGTGGCATGGATCATTACACTTGAAAGGAAGTTTGTGAATATCTGAGTCAAAAAAAGAAATATTAAGGTCAACGTTGTCAGAAAAACCTTGAAAGAAACTATATATTTTAATAGTATTTGAACAAAAGGATACACTAGATATAAAATATTTGTAGTTATGATCAACGAACTGCAGCTATTTCAGTTTACAAAGTCAGGGGAAGATCGCTACCTCACGACCAGCAAGGGTAAGCAATACTGTGCCAAGACCCCCAGCCGTTACCCATTTCTGGGTTGAGAATCCCAGCAATTCCATGAACAATGATACCGCAGCAACCCAAACTGCAGAATAAACCGCCTTTCCAGCGAAATTGAAGCCCATCTGTCCAAGCAAGATACAATGACTATGTAAAGAAAAATGATCTTATACGCTATAAGTGCCACCAAGATAGGTATATTAATATATTATTACAAAATCACAAAATAAAAAAAATTTGACAGGAAAAGTAAAACTATGCTACATATATTGCAAAAAAGGTAAAAAGAAGCTAATGTAGATGATAATGAGTAACATTTTGTTATTTTTTTGCATTAGCACTAATGACATTTTCCTTTTCAGCATTGGAATTGGAAGGGGAAATCAATTTTTCCAAAACAAAGTATGAAAACATAACATTTAAACAAGGAATTAAAGGAGTTGCATACTGAGAAAGTAAGAAAAACATACATTTCTTGTGTCACTTGGGTCTCTTGTCTCCATAAAGAACTTTTGTGCTTGTTGAATTAAGCTGTAAACAAAAAGTATCACTATAGAAAATCAAATTTTAAACCCCAGAACCAGAGCCATCAGAATCAATAACCACAATGATTATAGGACCAGTATGGGCAAAAGAAAAATAACACTCACACAGACACATCCGCGTATAGAGCATAGCAGCAAAATAAAAAACTAAGCCAACAAAATGAAATTAACTTTTAACTAATATAAGAAGAACTAAAGTTGTTGAACCAGGCCGTTGGACCATTTTCAATGTTCAAATTACTTTTAAGTTGCTTGACTGCTTCTGAAAGAAACAAATATCAAAATGAAATTCATCGGTGACCGATCTATTGGTTGACCACCAAAATCATGAAAGAAATTTCTTTTGAGACACAATAACAGCAGAGAATTGTACTCACCTTGACAAACAATAGGCAAATGCCAACACTGTTGATAATGATTGTGTAAAATTTATAAGACGTTGCTTGACAGCCTGGCTAGCTTCTGAAGGTAGGACTACAGGATCCAATGCTCTGAAATGAACATTGCGGCAGTTAGTGCAGATAGACTGGAAACAAATATCAGGTTAAGACAAGCAAATAGGTTAGCATCATTTTTCGTTCCCTAAATTGTAATTTGAAACTAACTACTTCTAATGTAGAAGTGAACCTGCATAAAAGTGTCGCTCCAGTCCAGAGAAGCAAGGGCTGAAGGTAAGAAGTCATGACATAGTGTGACCTACTTTTCATCCAAGTATTATCATTCCGCTGCAGAAACTCACCATGGAAGAATTATTCAGCTCAATAACATAATCAAACCATGTCTACAGGCAAGGTGTGATGCAAGAATAACGTACTCGAAGAAAAATAACCCTGCCGAGACGCAATAGTGGCCCAATACCCCAAACAGCAAAAGCAATGATAGCCACTGCTGGGATCAATTTAAGTAAAGCAGGGCTTCCACGTAAAGTATCATAGGACCTGCATAATATGTCAACGTGTATATTTCTTTAGACACCACACATTTCAATATTAATGAGAGAGAAAACATGATGAGGCATTGCTTCCAATTAAACAGGATGGAGGACCCAAAATTTAATACCTTATATGCTGTGTGTGCAGTTCTCTAATGAAAACAAAAAAGGAATTGAGAATTCAAATGGGAACGTGTATACATACCTTGTCAAAACAAGAGTAGCAGATTTCAGAACAGGAACCCCGTTTCCTCCACCTGGACCTAAAACAGATCTGCAAACGAAGACATTGCATCTGGAAGACACTGGACCTATTGGGCCACGTACACTGCTTAAAAGATGGAGACTGCAGGCACCCTGTCGCTAACAATTCAACGTAACAAAACAAAAATGAATATTCATGGCCTTCAACTCACACACACAGACCAAGCAAGCACTACACTATAATCATCCACTCGACAAAACCATGAAACAAGGAATGATAAGCAAATCTTAGAAACACGAGCACGCACACAAACAGTTCCACAAAGGGAAATAGAAAACCCAGAACTCAGGTGACAATTATGCATATTGCATACCAAATCAACGAACAGCGACTGGAAAGAAAAAAAGAACTGAACCAAAGAGAAAACCATACCAAACCATGTGACGGAAGATTGATGCTAACCATATGCACTCGACCCTTTCCTACAAGACACTTTTAATCAAACAAAAATTACAAAACTCCATTAGTACGAAGATAGTATGAAGCAAAAAAGACCACAAAGAAATCTCACATACAGCATCTGGATTACGGCATCCACGATTATTGTGACTTCTCCAATCATACAAAAACCTCGTAGCAGCCGCATGAGGCATGGTTGATTCTCAAGCAGTAGAGGTGTAACTTTGAGCAACAATAAGGTAATGTCGTTGAAAATCAGATTACCCCCTTCAACCTAAGCAGACTATGTCTTCAAATTATGGGTCTCTCTCTCTCTCTCACACTACCAAATATGTACACCAACACAACACCTGCCAAACCCAAACTTCAAATTCTCACTTCATATTCAAATCATAAACAAAAACCCATAATTATAAAGCTAAGAACTTGCAATTAAACCAGGTAAGTGAATTTTACTGTTAAATTTTTTAGATTTCTTAAAATTCTACAACAAATTACACAGATAAAATCTACAAAAAAATAGTGAAAAAAATCCTGAAATAATAAACCAAAATTCAGAACTAAATAGAGATAAATAATAAAAATTACTAGAAATTCCAATTTTCTGAGGAAGCAAAAGTAAAATAATGATAAAATTCACAAGGAAATAATTCAGTGGAATTACCTACTGGATTTAAGCAGAGGCTTTCTTGTAGTGGAAACTGGCTTTTAGAGAGAGAGAGGGAGAGGGAAAGGGAGGTGTGGGAACTGTGGAGAAGGTTAGAGCCCCAAAAAATAGCTGGGGTAGTGCTAACGTGCGCCGGGAGGTGCAAGGTAACACGGCATCGCGTCCGCGGTGGCTGCGTGGTCAAATGAAAGTGCAGCGTTTTGGATTTTGTGTGTGGTTGCGTGGACCCGCCTTTTCTACTGTAGGCAGGGATATCGTGTATGTGGCGCGTAGAGTGTTATCTTGCGCGTTGTGCGTATTTGACATCGGTTCTTCCCTCCTTTTGGTCTCTTGCCTCGATGATAATTATGCATGTGCGTCGAGTTGTTTTCGGGTATGGGTCGGGTCGGTCCAACATATAACCTTTTTTTATCAGTTGACTTGTACGGGAAGTGTGAATCAAAATTACGAATCGAAAAACGATCCTCTTTGGATTCCTTTCACTAAAGTCAAAGATCTGGATCATTGAAATTTTATCCAATGACTAAAGTTATTATAAATTTTAAAGGGCATCTGTTTTTAGTTGTTTGATCAAATTTCAAGAGTCCGGATACCTTGACTTAGTAGATTTGGTGGAAAGGATCCGGAGATGATCCATTTCCTTACTAATCTACCCAATTTACCCAAATAATAATAGAAACTAACCAAAGTCCACATACATTGTGGGAAGCTGCTTTTTTTTTTTTTTTTTTCAAAAAATATATGAGAGAGAAGAGTTGGAAAAAAAAATGTAAAAGGGAGAGGGCGTGAGAGCAAGAGAAAACGGGAGAATGAAGAGAGATTTATATTTTTATTTCTTAAAATTAGAAATATGTTATGATGACATGTGAGTAAAAGAAGAAAAAAATAATAATCGGCTTGTGCGAAACTACAATACTCTTTGTGATTTTATTTTGTGATATAAAGATCAAATTGTCTTTTTGTCCTCTTTTAGTTGACAAATGAAATTTTGTTAATAGATGGTTTAGATAATAAATTTTGAAATTATGCCATATTTTTTCGTTTTCTTTTATAATTTGTTATTAAATAAATATCAGGTTTTAAAAGTTTGAAAGATGTAATTATAATTAAGTCGAATCAAAACGAGAGTGCCAAAGTGTTTAGGCTCGCCTAATAGTTATCGAGCTCTAATGGAGCTTGATTCTTCGAATGCTTTCTATTAACCTAAAACTCGCTCTTTCGTACACAAACCACAAAAAAAGTTATAAAGAGTGTAATAATTAAAAAACTTCTCAATTATTGAAAGATGTTTGAAGTTTAAATATCTCCTTGATTTTTTGTTAATGAGGTTACCGTTAAACTTGAACCGGGATTGCTAGGTGGAGCTCAAATCAAACTCCAGTTGTCAAAACCGTGAAGTTCAAGAATTGCATGATTTTGACAACTGGATCGATTGGGCTGCATTTTTTAGTTGATTACTTTATTTTTATGACCATACATTTTGAGGGTGAATTTTAGTTGTCCGTTTCCTAAGTTGCTATCATTTTTCATGGGCGATGGATGATGGATATCAGACACGTTTATGGTGTGCTGATGTTTGTTTGCTTATTATTTTGGAATTCGTTCTAAAAGAGATGTTCAATCTCATCCTCTTCTTCTATGTCATTTTGTCAAAGGTCAGATTGCACCATGTAGCATGATTAGTCAAGTAATTTGATTTTTCTTTTCTTTGTCTCATTTGGAAAACTCGGGATTTTAACTAATCGTGTTAAATAATAATTAATTTTTCTAGTACTTTATGAGATTCATCATATTTTAAAAAAAAATCTCGAATTTGAAAAATTACACTAACACTGTTCATGTTTTGATCCACTTTCACATCACTCTTAAAAAGATTTGTCCTTATAATTAATTTCAAAAAGGGAAAATTAGAATCCCTTTGCACTTTTCTAAGCCCCAGTTTGGGGTTGAGGTGATTTTAAAAAAACTCCTATGAAAAAAAGCTGGAAGTGTTTTTGATGTTTGGTAAACAGTATAAACCAGCTTTTTTTCAAAGTTTCAGATGAAAAAAAGCTAAAAATGGGAAGCTGCAAATGGCAGCTTTGAAAAACTGGCTTTTCAGCTTCTGCGCAAACCTCTAAAACGCGGGTGAACAGTGACCCTTTAATGAAATTTTCTGGCAATCCTACCCTTTCCCGATTCCACGGCGAAGCTTCTTCACAATGCAGAAGATGGGGCAGGAATGGTTTTCGCAGACCGGCAGCGGCAGCGACGACTCGCAGAAGCCGTCGTCGTCTTCTTTGCTAGCCGATTGGAACTCCTACGCCGCTTCACAATCCACTGACGAGAGCTCCTCTTTGGGACTTGGATTCGATCTCGAATCTGCGGTGCGCTCTGCTAACGACATTGTTTCCGGCACTTTCAGCGTGTAAGTTCGTATCTGATCTTAGTTTCCTGCCTAATAACTCAGTTTTTTAGTTACTGTAGAGTTATTTGTGGGTGATTTTGGCTGTGGGTTTCTGATTTTGTGTGTGTTTTAAGTGAATCTGATAATTGGGTTTTCGATTTTGTGCGTATTTAGGTGAACTTGATCATGGGTTTTGGAATTTGCGTATAAATAAGTGGATCTAATATGGGATTAATGATATTTGTGTATATTATGCTGGGATGTTAATGATTGTGTGCATATTTAGGTGAATCTGATATGGAGATTTTGGTTTTTAGGGGTTTAGGAGCTGGTGGATTTGTAGAATAAGCTGATATCTCGACCCGTATCGTCAAATTTGTGTATGTGATAGATTTTGATGATGGGTATTTGATTTCTGTGCTTGGATCTGGGATTAGTAATTTAGTATTTGATTGAGTGCATGATACTTGCTTATGTTGCTTCATATTCTGATTTGGGGTCTATGGATTTTCTTCTGACTGTATGATTAGACTGTAGTTAAACGAAAAGCTGCCGAGCTATATGAGTTACAGGACTTGTGGAGGGTCCTGTCCGAGGTGCTTAAGGAATGGGATGTTAGCTCAAAGTGGAGAGAATTTAAGTTAGTAGAATGTGTAAACTGAATAGCTGTGTTGCTGCATCTTCGTATGATTAGAAAGAAGCTGCGAAATGCACACTGGATTTTGAGTGGTAGATCTAAGGGAGGGTTGTTCTGATTGTAAACATCTAATTGGTTATTCATGTGTTGCATAATCTATCTGGTGTGATTAGAGTTTACGTGATTGCATTTTCTTTAGGGTTTTTCAGTAATGACTCTTGTATGTCTCAATAATGACTCTTGATTAACCTTATTAGATTGTATCAACTGTTGCTGCTTGCAATCGGATTTGGTCATATTGGTGAATTTCGCTCTAGTTGTTTTTTTTTTTTTTGTTCAGTTTCCGCCAAGCGAAAATTGTTTGCTTATGCTGATAATATGTGGTCTATTATGAAGGATTTTTATCATTGAGTGACTTTTGATTTCTATTATTACAGTGAGTGAGAAATGAAAGTGAAGTTGCTGCAGTGGTTAAAAGAGCATAGACGAAAATTTGAGTATATGGTTGTATTTGCTTAGTTCAGTTCTCTTTGTATAAAAAATAGAGAGATCATATAGTTGTAAATGATTCAATTTCTTGGTTTAGTTAGTGTTTCGAAGTGATATGTGATTGTACAATGATTCCATAACTGCTATAGTTGTTTCCTATATGCTACCAGATGCTATGGATTGTACAAGAATGCTATAAAAAGCTATAACAGCATTTGGAAAATGCTATGAAAAGTTTACAATAGCATTTGATGAATGCATCTAATTAGACTACTTTCAAGTACATTAACAATATTGTACTAATGAATCCTAGTTATTCAATCTAAAATATTTCAATTGAAGGAGTTTGTCATACTAATTAATATTTACGATAAAGTTTAATTTTTTTTTTAAATAAAGTATATTTAGTAATTCACTTTTATTTGTTAAGAAAATTAAATTAATAGCACATCTAGAATTATACCCTTTTTGGTCATTTCACACAGTCACAGCTGTTTTACATAAAAGCTTACCAAACACTATCATACTGCTTTTTTTTCCAAAAGCACTTTTACAAAAAAGTTTACCAAACACTTTGTTGCTTTATTTCACAGCCGCTTATTCTCACAGCACAACCGCTTATTCTCACAGCAGCTTTTTTTCAAAGCACAACAATACCAAACTAGCCATAAACATTGATTCTATTTTGAAATTTGATTAGGGCACCTAAACAATAGTCATGTCAGCATTTTTATATTTATATAGATTACACATTGTGTTTTTTTTTTATTTAAAATGTTAATTATTAAATTCCATATATATCCTTTTAGGCTGATATATTTCTGTATGTGGCCTTTTTTCTGGGAAGCCGTATGGTTTGTTGGTAGTGTTTCCAGAATTCTTCTCCCACGTTTGAATTATGTGATCCTCATTTTTTAATTTTTAATGGACTTATCCAATTCAATTAGTGGTTGTTTTCACTATTTTATATTGATATCATGTGAGATAATTAGATGTATATATTCGGAGGCTTGCGGCTGATATGTTCAGAATGTTTTATTGAGATTCTCTACAACGTCTACCTTGCTATTTGTGGTATGTTGTGATAAATACTTATAGCTCATTTATAGTGATTGTGATAATTGTTGTTTAGATATAAATGTGCTTAATGGGGTTTTAGATAATTATCATAAAGTTAATGCCTTTTTGTAGTTTTGTTGATTTTAGTATGGGTTCGAAAAGGGATTTGGATTGGTTATTTTGTTGTGGGTTTGTTGTTTAATGCTCATTTATATTGTTAAGTTATAACACTGGAAGATGCACATTGAAGAAGTTGTGCTGAGTTTTTTAAGATTTGAAAGTTGCCCAACACATGTTCGATGAAATGCCCCAATAAGTATTGGTGATGCATGCATTTTGCTTGGGCATGTAAGGCGTATGAAAGTCATGTTTTACACCAATTTTTAACAAATAAACGAGAGAAAAATTAAGCAACTAATAACAATAGAGAGGACACTTCATTTTCTGAATTGTGCAACCAGGTTAGCTCAAGGTTCAATGGTTTGGTAGTTGGTTCATTTAACCTTACATATGTTATGAATGGATGAGCATGTTGTCTTTTGAAATGTGACATGGATGTGCGTGTATTGCACATGTCTGTAACGAAGGAGATCACGTATTTTGTTGATATATTGGTGAGCTTAAAAGA